CAACACTTTTTATTATCTCTCTTTTTGATAATAGCCATTCCAGAAGGTATGAAGTGGTATCTCATTGTGGTTTTAATTTGCATTTCCCAGATGGCCAATAATTTTAAGCATCTCTTCATGTGCTTATTGAACATTTGTATATCTTTCTTGGAGAAATGTCTATTTAATTTTTTTGCCCATTTTTAAATTGGATTATTTGTCTTTTTTATTGAATTTAAGATTTTAAAAATATAATCTAGATAATCCTTTATCAGATATGTAGTGGAATTCATCTTTCTTTCAAGGAAGAAATCTGTTTCAACTCTGAATTTACTACATGGAGTACTTTGATAGAAGACCACAGAGGTTTACCCACTGAATTAATTACAAATATAATCACTTAAAATACTGCAGTGCAAGTATTAGCTATAAATTTATGACATTGACCTGAAGTAAGACAAATGCAAATATACATGAATTTTCCAGTTATAGCTATTAGTTTCTCAATATTTTTTTTAAATCAATCATATAGAAACAAAATTTTATTTACTCTGAAGCCTGCTCATGATTACAATTAAATTTTGCAATAGATGAATGAAGGAAAGAGTTTCTGTAATTGTGTGTGTGTCTGTATGTTTGTGAATTTTTAAGCAGGCAAAAAAAAAAAAAAAAAATCAAAAACCAAAAAGAAAAACCCCATCGTTCTCTTAAGAGAAAAAAATACTTCCCCACAGAATAAAAGATGTGTATATATATTATCCATATTGATTTAAAAAGGGTCAACTAATATCTAAAAAATAACATTTAGAAAAAAATAAAAACTCTTTTAAAAAGGATTTCAGACATAATAAGTATCAAATTCAGGGTAAAAAGTAATGACAGTGTTCATTTTCTTTGAAAAATATATGGTTTATATATCAAAAATTTTTCTATTTTGATTTCAATCAAATAGATTTAAAATTAGGAGCAAATATCTACTAAATTTTTGTGATAAAACTGACTTTCTACATATACTTTCGATTTATTCATAAGAAATTGCTCTATATGATAGATTTTATATTAATATTGAACTGCTTTTATGGTTGTAGTTAACTTTAATTTTACACTCTTTAGTAATGTTATTAATGCCAAAATATGAATTTCACTTTTTTAATGTGTGTTAACGTTGGTGATAGTCTATATATTCTTAAAGTTTTCACTTAATCAATTATTACATTTTAGGAACAATAACAACGGTGTCCCTAGAGATGTTTAGATTTTTATCAACCTGAATGTTCTGGGTGAGAATGTGATGGTATGTCTGCCATTGATGAGAGTCTCCAGGCAGAAGTCAAGGGATGCAGTACAAGGTTATGCACTGTGGTAGCTGATGAGAGAGAGCATGTCAAACATTCTTGGGCAACGAAAGCATCATATTCATAAAAAGAATTTCAGTTCCACTTCCTTGCTTTATCTCTTTTATTAAGATTTAGCTCGTTCCTCCTTCTTTGCAGAATTCTTATACGAGTCCTCCTATGGGGGTTATTTATTCTTATTCTTATAGCACCATGAGTTTGTCATGATCTTAGCACTTCATATGCCATATCACAACTGTCTATTTACTTGTTTTGTCTATTTGATTAGACCATGATCTTCCTAAGGGATAGAACAGTGTTGGATTCATTTTAAATTGTCCTGCATATAAGTGATATTATGTGGTTTTCAATTTTTTCTGTCTGGCTTATTTTGCTTAACATGATTGTCTCAAAGTCCATCCATGTTGTCTCAAATGGCAGTATTTCATCTCTTCTTATGGCTGAGTAACAAACGAACAGGACAAACAAACAGAGACTCATGGACGTGGACAGTAGACTAGTGGTTGCCAGAGGTGAGGGTAGGGAGGAGGTAGATGAGGTAAAATATGTGGTGACAGAAAGAAATTAACTATGGGTGGTGAACATACAATACAATATTTATGATATGCCTTACTGTTAAAATATACAGCTCAGATTTACTAGATTTCATTAACCAATGTCACCATAAAAAAACCAACTAAATAAAAAAATAATCAATGCTTAGAACAGTGTCTGGCCCATAAAGAAATTTTAAAGTATATTCGAGTAAATTAATAAATGGATAATATAAAACTCTGAAACCTTCTATGCTATTTGGTTTGTAAGTGTAACTAAATTTATAATGAAGAAAAATTAAGAAGGTCAATTAAAGGTAATTTTCAAAACCAATCTGGATTGATTCCTTATCAGAGTCATTAAGTCAGTTTGGAAGCCAGAATGTTTCTAGGTAATAGAAATGCAGTTTTGGGAGAGGAGAAACAGAGGGAAGGGTTTTTCATTGATTTATTGATAGGCATTTCAGATCCAGGATGTGATTGTAACGTATGTTTAATTCATTAACGACAGAGGAACTTTTTTATGTATTTAGTTGGCGTTGACTTTTTAGGGATATATGGATGTATACTTGAGCTGAGATTGTTTTTTCAGTGTTCTACTCCAGACTGTGAAGTGAGACATGCCTTAAGGCAACTAAAATTCAAGGAGAAGAAAAGACCGTTTGTTAGATTTTATGCCACATTAGTTGTCACTCAGCTGTTGTTACCACTCACTTATGATTCAAATTTCTTTAATTACATCTCCATTTCACCACCTGGGCGTAGAGAATAAAACCTTTTTTAGTGTACACAATTTCCTGATTAGCCTTAAAAGACTTAGTTGTGTGCTCTCTCAATATGTGAAGCACATTTGGCTTTTCTAATTATGTTTCTGAGGCATTTTGCCTACATCTTCTGAACTAAAGTAAAAAGTTATAGAAAATAAAATAGTGACAGCCTTTTTTGCTCTTAGAATAAAAAAAAAACAGGCGTTTTAAGAATTATTGCAGGGAAACTAAATTTTGAAAGTTACTTTCCATTTAATGGGGCTTCAGAATACAAATGTTGAATAGACATTTCCCCAAATTATATAAATGGCCAATATATACATGAAAAATTGGTCAACATCATTAGTCATTAGGCAAACGCAAATCAAAACCACAATGAGGTACCATTTCATACCCATTAAGATGGGTTTTAAAAAGAAAAACAAAACACCAAAAGAGCAACACAATAAAATAAAATGAAATGGAAAATGAAAAAATGTTTGTGAGAAATGGAAGGAATTAAAACCCTCATATATTGCTGGTGTGAATGGTTCAGCCTCTAGGTAAACTGGTTTGGTGGTTCCTCAAAAAGTTAAACATAAAATTAACATATGACCCTACAATTCCACTTGTAGGTATGTACCAAAAAGGATTTTGAAAATAGGCATTCAGACAAGTACTTATATACACATGTTCATAGCAGAACTAGCCATAATAACTGAAAAGTAGAAACAGCCTAAATGTCTATTAGCAGATGAATGGATAAATAAATTGTGGTATATGCATAAAACAAAATATTATTCTGACATAAAAGTAAGTGAAGTACTGATACATTCTACAATGCAGATGAACCTCCAAAATATTTCACTAGTGAAAGAAGCTAAACACAAATGTCCCATATTTTATGACTCTATTTATGTGAAATACCCAGAATAGATAAACCCATAGAGACAGAATACAAATTGGCAATTTCCAGGGTATAGAGGAAGTGGGAAATGAGAGAGACTGCTTAATGAATCAAGGGTTTTACTATGGAATGATGGAAATGCTTTGGAACTAGATAGAGGTAGTGATTATACAACATTGTGAATATATGAAATGCTACTGAATTATTCACTCTAAAATGGTTAATTTTGCCTTATGTGAATTTTATCTCAATATATTATTATTTTTTTAACTTATTAATTAATTTATTTTTGTGGTAACGTTGGTTAACAAAATCTGGTAAGTTTCAGCTCTACATTTTAACAGTAAGACATATATGTATTTACATTGTGTGTTCACTTCCCAT